GCCGAAGTATGGTATAAAGCTCGGCTTAACTAATTACGCCGCTGCATATTGCACCGGATTGCTGCTCGCCAGAAGGGTAAGCGAATTTTCAGGTTTGTTTTTCTTGTAGTGTGCTAATTTGCTTGATTTACCTATAATGTTATAAGCATAGTTGTGTGAATCTGAAGCTAGTTTGACCGTCTAGTTCTGGTTTACTACTAGTTGCATTGAGGTGTATGCAGGAAACTTATCTGTTGTTGAAGTTGAAGACGAGCTATTTGAATGGCTCGTTATTAGCGGTATTGTTCGCCAAGGGATTTTGCTTTCTCATTTGCCTTTTAACAATGTTTTTATTTGTCTTCTCAGAAACAGTGCTGACCCTGACAAAAGCAGTGCTTCATTCATTCTAGTGGGAAAATGCAATTAAGGAATCCAGATAGTGCTGACATGCAGTGGTCAGATGATAATCTCTTGGCGAGAAGTTCAAGGAGCGTCTGTGTGACACGGACGGCTTTTGTATTCGACACAGCTATGAAAGCTGAACGTTTAACACCCAAAAGTCAAAGGGTTATGAATAGTCCATCTGGCACAACAAGTCAGCAAATGAAGCAGGAAGGTGAAACTATAAAAGACATTAACCAATTTAAGTATCTCGGAATCCATCATCTCCAGCGACGGTCTTATCCGATTATATTAAAATGAGAAGATTACTTTCGCTTCCTGTGCTTTTGGTAATCTGTACCATATTTGTTCTGTGAGAGGAGTAACGTTTTTCTCAAAAATCCGTCTGTACCTTGTTTCGGTCAGGTTATTGTTGTTGTACAGTATGGAAACAATTCTAACGAAGCAGCAAGAGCAAAGGTTGACCTGCGTACTACAGTGTTGGCTTCGAGGTATGATTAAGGTTAAAGGGCAGGACCACGCAAGAATAGAATTATTCTCTTTCTGACTCAGGCTACCACGAAGATGCGGAGATGGAGTAAACGAGATTGTATCTCTGTTAAACTGATTGGTAGCCCATTAGCTGTTTACTCCAGCTTATGAGCTGCTCCCATGGCGTCCGAAACACGGCAGACGTCGACCATGAGGCGGCTTGCATTTAGCATGGAGTAACGTCTGCTTTTGGAGAGAAATGAATACTTTCTACGATTTAGTAACCCGGAATTTATAGCCAAAATTTTGAAACGCTGTGAATATAGCGGGCATCTAATGCCAAAGATGTTCTGCTTATGTAAGGTGATGATCTCATCGTACAGATCGATCGACTTATAAGGATGATTAAAGAATAGGTTTGAATTCACATAAAAGATTTTTTCACTGTTTTAACTCCATAATATAACTTCCTTGGCTAGAATTTGACTCAAGCCATGCGCTAGACATAATCTCTCTATAATGTTGCATAAAACCGAACATCCTTTTTTAGTTTCAATCGTCTATCGACTTCGTTGAACAGGGTAGCTTTGCATTACTAAAATGTCTGCTCAGTTTATCAGAATATCGCGACCTCATTGGTTTGCCCTGGTAGTAATTAACACTGTGTACCACCTAGTGTCAGTAACATGAACCCTTACCAGGAGGGGTACGATTACTTGAAATGCTGGAACTGTTTGGTTGGCGTCTGCATGTTGTCGCACATGGTTCAGTATGAACTTTCCTTTCAGTTGAATTGAGAAACTGACGTTCCGTCCTTCGTCACGCACTAACAAATAGAGCTATTGCCTCACATCACAGATCGTAGATGGACTTTGGCTGAAAAGGACGGGGGTCATGCTGAAAAAGTCAAGGTTAGAAACTACCAGGGATAAGTTTACATCGATTGAACGACCGCAAGTTGAGTACAGATATTAGCTTTTGTCATATCAGACATTGTGAAAGAAGGAAAAACAAGTTAGGAGATCGTAAGCATGTAGTAACTTTTTCGAATGTCGATTAGATTAAGTTAGCGATTAATGGATGTTCGACGACGATTGCTTAGTTTTAGGATCTTAGTGAATGGTTCACATTTTCCGGCTTATACGGCTGCAGATTTAGCAGGTAATGACAAATGACCATTTGACTTAAAATTACTTAATTACTTAACGTTTGTTTAAGAGAGGTGTGACTCATGATTATGTAGGCGGCCATCATCCCTGCCAGGCAGCACACTGACGCCATTGCACTCATCCTGAACGATGCGCTTTCGTTCCGCCAAGGTGCAAAGATTTTCGTTTCCTCAAGCGAAGGCACGTAAATCAGTGGCTAAACACGTAATACAGATTACGTCATTGCCATGAATGCGGCTGAGTGGAGTCTACGATTTTAAGAAAATGAAAATTTGGCGTCCCGCTATTCAGGAAGTGAGACCACAGGGAGTGCTTCATTTATCGGGGCGTCACATTATTGAGCCTCACAGGAAGAGTTTACGCAAAGGTACTAGAAAGGAGGTGCCGCGAAATAAGTTACTCCAAGATACAAGGAGAGCAGTGCGGCCTTCGGCCCGATTGAAGCACATCTGACCATATATTTGCCCTGCGCCAGATTATTGAGAAATCGTGGGAGTACGCCCGTCCGGTGCACATGTGTTTTGTTGACCTAGATAAAGCGTATGACCGGATCCCACGCAACAGTCTGTGGACATGCCTTCATGCATACGGGATTGATGGCCAGC